CATTTCTTGCTGGGTATAACTGAACTGGCTCATTATATAGGTGGACTGGTCCCCGTCCCTATCATAATTATGATGGGGATCAGGCTCCTGGGGTCCGTGGTCGGTTCAGTTCTACACATGTACAATGGATCTTTCCATGAAATATACAAATAAGGCAGAGGCATGCGCATTACTACCACTGGAGGATACCGTGCACGATATGGGGCAGATGGGTACCCCCCCCCACACATGTCCAATCCTATACACATTCCAGACTATTGTTACCTAACACATCCCCCTGGAAGTCTGTATAGAATTCTTGAGATTCCGATCAAACGACGACCAACACAAAGGCAGGGGGGGGGGTTCTCCACCCCATACATTGCATCATTATGGACTGGTTGGCAAAGTTAAATTTATGACGTCAATCTCCACGCGCGCTCAACTATCAACACATACACGCCGTTTCTGCTCTGGTATAGTTTGGAATGAGTCCCAAACTTAAAGGCAGGGAGTTGTTACTTTCCAATCTCATGGCACCGAAAAACTTCTCTTAGTTTCGAGAAAGACGTGCTAAAATATTGGACAAAGGCTGAAATACGGTTTAATTGACCTTCATCGAGCTAGGTCATGGTCAGAGCAGCTGTCCTACAGTGTCGACAGTGTTGACGGCCGCGCTTGCCAACCAATGGTAGTAGTGCGCATGCGCCTATCTAATTTGCATATTAATAGAAGATCCAACGTCTATCCGGTTCGTAAGTGACTTTGTCACAAAGGCGGACGCGCGTCCACGATTTGCGGGCTCCCATTGGACGATCGCTGAAGTTTCGCGTTTACTTCCGGTTCCATGCTTCCAGGTAAACGGCGATCAATGCATGTAACTTCATGTGCAGTGCATGTGCACTTTGGGTGTGGTTTAAACTGAAGAGACGTCACACTGATGAGAAATATGGAAGGGCTGCGTAGCACCATGATCAGAATATTGACAAAATATAACATATAATCACACTTACGAACCGGATAGAGATGATGCTTACATGTAACCTTTCGTGCGCGTGACAGCCTAACACATGGCTCTCGGGAGAACTTCAGAAAAGTTTCTCCCCTGTAATTATGGAAGTGGTTATCCATAAAAAGCAGGTACATATGTCTGACAGTGTGTTGCGAGCGCAAATGACTCAGTAGAGAAGGTGCTAATCCAGTCTGTCTTCTAAAGTTTTGTCACGTGACGTTGTCGGATTGTAGGACGGATATATGCTAATTTCCTCATTTACATAAACCTGGCAGGATTTCTCCGGAATCATTACCTGGTACCATGCAGTCCTATGTGTTTGGAGGACGTCTATACGACGTCTGGAGACTATACGTACTGGACAGGAGCTAGTCTAACTCGTTAGGAAGTGCAGGCACCTGCTTGCGGTATAAAAGAAAATATACATGTGCTTCAACAGTTCGTAGAACTTTGCATCGCTTTGTAGTTTATATTCAAGCTGGACAACGAAACATAGTCTTAATGTGAGTCCGAGTTTCATAGTTGGGACACCGTGACCATACTTTGAATAACTCTGATTTATCGGCTTCGTCGAGTGAATCCGCACTTAAGTATGGAATTACTTGCTCAGTTTCAATCTTTTCAAGTTCTCCCCAGAGCAAAATGTAAGTTGACATGTGCTGTTCTTTTATGGAGAGCAAACACCGAGAAGACATTGGACATAAGTCCAAAACATGATGCGGAAGGACGCGTCATCTCGTGCCATGACTGCTGTGCTCTGGTTTAAGTCCACAGCCGGCCGCGTCATCCCACGATCGTCCCTGTAAGCTATCTGTACCCGTGCTGAGCACCGCTGTAAGCTTCGTGTTTTCCCCAGTTGTGTCTGCGTGTTTGAAAAAGCGGCTAATTTGATTAAGAGCTGCTGTCGAGGTTTTGACGCGGCTAAAGTCTATTTCTCCCCCTTCTTCCTCTTGTGTTTGCACGGCGTTGTGGGACGGCTGGAGAGGAGCTTTAAGCGGGGAACAAGCGCCCGGGGCACGGGGCCAAGGCAGCCCGCCAGCCCGGTAACAAGATGAGAGACGCTGGCTGACGCGAAACGATGATTCCACCCTGAGGTTACACCGGCAAGACATGGAGAGTGAGCCACATACACACACATACACAGAGGGGAAAGGAAAACACTTAGTGTAGTTGCTGTGGATGGGGTTTTACGTTTACGGGGGCCCGGCGGCCAGTAATTCCGATTAGAGGCACGTCCCGAAGTAGGAAATAGCTCTGCGTGATTGGATTGCCCAAAATTGCCTTGGCAAAAAAGGGTTTGACAACGAGAAAATTGTTTACTGGAATTTTTCTCAGGCAGGAATATATCAGCCTTATGCGTGTATATTTCGCATTAAAGGCCTACGTGACATTGCAACGTTGCGAGTTGTGATAAATCCCTTTAATTTATTAAGGTTTTGAGCCTAAGCTTAATATGAGGCACGAAATTGCAGCGGAAAACATCTCTCAACGTTAGCAGCAACTCCACAGAAGGGCTGTGTCGGTGTTACCTTCGAAAGGTTATCTAAATAGGTTATGTGCGTGTTATGAAATACGGTGGCTTGGTTTGTGAATCATATGGTCCCTAAGGCAAAATGTTGGCTGGTGCAGTCACAAACTAATTTACACCATGGCCTGGAAAAATAATCTCAGTAAGACGCTTTTTTTGTTCATTGTCTACAGTACTGAGTTTGCTGATCAACATTTGCGTTTTTACCGATATCAATCTCATTTGAGACTCTGTATAAGTCTATTCATCATATTTCGCTTATGCCACGTCTTTTCCTGCGATGTAGCTGGAGGGTAGTTGATTTTGTGGCTTGAATTCCTCTTTTTGATTACAAGAGCCATTTGGGAAGTTTGTGGTCGAGCTCGTTCTTTAAACCTTACGAATGTTCAGTAGCTTGGGGACACGCATATAAGATTCTAAGTTCCAGCTTGAAGGGGGCGTGCCACGCCCTCATGTACGCCATTGTGCTAGTGTGCATCAAACAAAGCAGGTGAAATCTAAGATGGTAATGTTAGCGCCACACGCAGAAAGTTAGGCTCGTAAGGTTTGTTTGAGTGGCAAGTAATTATTTGACATGGAGATAGAACAAAGAAAGTCCCTATCTGTAACATTGCACAATGTACCGTATATGCTGGTAAGAGTGGCATATTTTAAATTTCACTTCGCGGGGGATAGGAGTCGCCTTCATTCTTTCTTAAGAGGGTGTTGAAAATGAAGCATTGTTGCTTTGGAAGTATTAGTTATTCTTTGGTGAGGATTGTTTCTCCAAGTGTATGTTCTCAAGCTGTTTCGAAGGAATCTGACAGGTACACGCATGTCTCAAACAGACAGGCCACATCACGTGACCGTGGAAAATTGTTGATGTATCCGTGTGCTACTAGCGGGTGGTGTGCAGCCGGCAACCGGGGGGGGGGTTAGAAATGCATGCCTTGTTCCTGTTCTTTTCGTCTGATCTTCGTTACTTGAGCAATAATGCATTTCCTAGATCCGCAACTGCTGGAGTGAACATACATTCGTCGAGCACTGTAGACTTACTGTTTTTTCATGAGATTGGCTGGAAAGATGCAGAAGGGGAGAAGGTAATTTACGAAAACGACGCAAAGTCACGAAGACCAATGCCGCTACAATCTGTCGTCACGTTCTGACGTAGGCTTTTGCTTTATTTCGGTAGATGTTACAAAATAATTCAACGTTGTTTCCAAGTATATTTGGCCAAAGGTTGATGAAGCAGTTTTACAAAACATTCTGTACTGATTTAATACGTACATCTCAACAACAAAGATGAGTAAGACAGATTTCAAAATATATATATTTTTCTTTTTTATGTTACATTATTACGGTGACGTAATGAGTGCAAAGTACCGACATTTGCCGTGGTTCAGAACCAATTTCAGCGACGAGAAGACATAACTTGTTGCGTTTGTAATACTCTTTGCCAGTCCGTAAACCGATATTAAACTTGACCAAATAATTACGTTCCTTGCCCATCGCTTGCTTCTTTATAGTGCGGATGAGCTAGTAAAACAATTCACGCTAAACACGCTATTGCCTGGCGCCTATATATAGCAAGTAGCGCCAAGAAAGCGGCGAAAGCTGTCATGTTTTTACATGTATAAACGTTTGCTTTTACCCTGTAATACACTTAAAGTTGTAGGGCCTTGACATTACAATCATAAAAAGTTTCAGCCGAAAATGTAAACTCCATTTTCACGTCTGGCACCGTCTGGTACCGCCTTTTGATACATAGGTTTGCGTGTTTTTCGAAACCAGAGAGCAGCCATGGTAAATTCTTTTCTATGGAACTATCCAAATTATTAAACAGGTTGTGAGGGTGTAAGAAAATAATCACTTGCTATTCAAAAAGGTCGGCTGAGTTGGTTGAGTACAATTATGAATTCTACACGGCGGCCGGTAGGGCTTTGCTCTACTGAACCCAATGGCCTCACCTTTACGTCCGCACCACGTGGGCTGGAATTTCGCTGGTCCCCACGCAGAGACCAACAAGCTTCAACCGCGTTCGTGGCCAGCACGCCACTCCGGATTATCCACGCCCTCATCAAGTGTTTGTGCATTATTTCCGACCGATTCGGCAGCTCAGCTTTTCTCAACTTCCTTTCCCACATTCTCTCACATTCTCCCGGAACTCCGCACACTTTGTCAAGTCCTTTCCTTTCCCTTTGATACGCGATAACACCCATCTCTTTCATCGATTCCTGCAATTTGCTTCCTTTTGATTCATTTATGAACAATTCCATCCAACCACATCCACTAATCGACCTGACTGACCCGTCCATCTGGTGTTCTTGTAAAATAAATATCTCCACCTTTAACAAGCAAAGGGCTATTCGCGTACATGTACATGCATATCTTTGCCTACAGCCAGCGCAAACTACATTTTGGCGGGTTTGCAACGGGAACGTACCGACGCAGCAAGGGATATCTAAAATGGGGAGAATGAAGGTTAGATGTCATAGAGTTGCATTGATATATTACACTGTGTAGTGTCTATTGTTAGGGGCTTTGAGTATCAGTATTTAATAAATTTTTTTTATACCGGAGCCTTTGCTCAGCATTCCCCTCAGGAATCCCCGTATAAATCCGTCAACCCATGCCCTGATTCATTCTGCTTGCCACTGGTCATTCGACTTAGTTATCCATCCGTCGACCCGCAAGTTGTCAATGCATTGATGGGTGAAAACAAGAAACTCCGTAAACACCCCGTGGTTATGTTTTACATCACAGCCATCCAACGCGTCCTCTCCGTTCACATTTCAAATGTAAATAAACTCCCAAATCCCCCACGGCGTTCCAACTTCTCAATCACCCGGCCGTCGAAGATCTTCTCAACCGTTTCACCAGATGATGCCCCCCTCATCCGACCTGTCCGTCCAGTTCCTGCGGTTTCTTTGCATTCACAATAACCTCCCATCTTCGAACTTTTCCTCGCTCACTCCTCCATTCCCGTCACCAATTCTGTCTTTCTCTTCCCATCTTTCTCAATCTGCCCTTCCCCGACACCGCGGCATCTCGAATCCATTAGCCTCTTCTCCTGACGCAAGTCGACCTCAGTGTACATCGGACCCACCTTGTTTTCCTCTATCTCTCACAACGCACCACACCACACTTTGGACAGGTAAGGTAGACCGCGCTTTCTCGTTCCCGAAGACCTTGAGAGCTCCGCCGGCCGTTTTGCATCCCCGGCCCCTAATTTTCGGTAGGTACAAAGAGTATGCCCGACGGCGCAAACATCGGCACTCACTTTCGTGAATGTGTCACATTATTGCATTTCCACGCAACTCTCAAAGTTTCTTCACTGAATGAAACAATAATCAAGTTGCCTCTCTTGAATGTTGGCCCTATTTCGTTTTACATGTACCAAAAACTACGAATCCTCTCTCACACTCTCTTTCTGCAAACACTTTTCATAACAGTGATCGTGAACAGTGTTACGGCAAATATGGTAGAATCACCGCTGACTCCACCTTTACAAATGACCTGCTGAGACCATCGTTTACGACGGTCGGGAAATGTCTGAGATTCACTTGGCTATTACTACTGAATTAACGGGAACAAGAGCCGCTCACTGTCGTAAAAATTTATGCGGGTATGTTGGCAACAGTCTGCACACCTTTTTTTGCTTGGCAACCGTTGTCTCCCTTTCAATAATTCACGTCAAACGGGGACCAAACTGATTCATTAATTTAATAACGCAGCAGTACAGCCATCCGGAGGTGGCGCTGACCAGCCAGCTTAGAAGGATCTTCTGTCGGCCATGGCGCCGGTAGCGACACCGGAACAGCGTGGATCTCCACTGCAATGCGATCGAAAGAAATACACACATGATATTCCCAGCAGTTAGGCTCTAAGCATACATCGCTGCGCGCAGGTGCGTCGAGCACCTTGCGGAAAAGTGAGGAGGCATTGATGAATTAAAGGGACAAAAATCTTCACTAAAGACCTCGACTGTCATCCCAGAGAAGAGAACCATTATTCTTTGCGACAAATAACCTTCATGGGGTAAATCCTGGGAATTAGTTAAAATCATGCACATCACGTTCTGTTGGTGACGCTCGCAAAGTTCAACTAGCCTCCCTCGCTAAACACTGGCAACGTGCAGTTCCCCCTAGACCCATTGCTCTCGATCGTTCCCACCAATTATGACAGTCTTAAAGCCAAATTTAGAATGAAGGGGGAAATAGCAGGTTTCAAGAAACACACAACTGGTATGCGACTATTGATAGAAATGTGACCATTTGAAAAGAGATTTTTACAAAGATGCAACCCATGTGTTTGGGGACACAAGCGCCGAAATTCTCAGGGACTGCCTATGATATTGTGTAGCGTTGTATGGCAAGGAAATCTAGAAAAAAACCCCAAGATTTGGTCATAAAACGAAATTAAAAGGTACTTCCACTGCCATAATAAAAACCCTGAGATAACTCAAACGCCCGATGAATTATTTTTTTGTGTACCACCATACAGCACTGTTTCTCACTGACACCGAAATAGTTTGCACTTGACCATCAAAGAAACATAAGTATTACCGTAGACAGTACTTGAATCTTAAACGGTAATTTTTAGAAGTTACTTCTTTCATTATCATATAATTTCTACAAAGCAGCACTTCTCCCCCAAAGTCCCACTTCATCTCTTTGTGATACGAAGTATCTTCTTGAAAGCCTTTCTAAATGTCGAGTTGCACATTGGGTAGATGAACGGGTTGAGGGTGGAGTTAATGTACCCAAGCCATATGCTGCCGAGGTATAGGTCGTCGTCGATGCAGTCGGAGCAGAAGGCGACAATCATGAAAAAGATCATGTAGGTGGCCCAGCAGCAGATGAAGCAGCCGACGATGACACCCAGCTGCTTGGCCGCTTTCCGCTCCTTGCTCAGCGACATCTTCCGTATACGGCGCAGGGTCTCCGTGGCCCGGCCGGGCCTCATGCTGAACCGGGACAGCGAGAACTTGCCGCGGGGGTTGGTGTTGTTGTTAAGATGGGGATGGTGGTGGTGGGGTTGGTGGGGAGGGTGCGGGTCCTCGTCTCTCTCCCTGCTGGTCGCTGAGGCATCAACCCGCTGCTCGACGCTCAGGAGGCGGGTGGTGACGCCGTTGCGTCTACCCTTGTTCTCCCGTTCACCCCTGCCCATCTCGCTGCCCCGGTACTCCGCAGACAGCTTTTTCTTGGTCGGCATGCACCCGATCTGAGCCTGCTTGCTGCTGCTCCCCGGCAAATCCTCGGACGAGAAGGAGATTTTCCTGGAGGAAAGGGTCCCATTGGGCACTGAATCGGCCTCCACTGTACTGTTCCGTCGAAGAATCGATCTTCGGCTGCCATTTTGGGCCTGGTAAGTCCTGTTTCTAAGGGGCCGAGCTTCCTCGGTTGTGACAGGTGTTCCTTTGTCCCGATCTAGCGAATTTTTCCCGGTGATGATGTGGTGTCGGTGGCGCGAGCTGGATTCCTTTCGACTCACAGCATCCCCGGGGGATAAAAACTGGGTTTCTCTCAATCGGGAATCGCCATGACAGCAGGGGCTCCTGGTGCAAGATCCCCTGGGTACGGCTCCGGGAGAGGTGTTCTTACCGGCAGCGGCTCTCTTGACTGCCTCTGGGTCCACCATACCGTGTAATCCTACGGTCAGCAACGTCAGATTGGATATGTTCCTCAGCTGCGAGTTGATCCGTTTAGGCCGCCTGGCCCGCCCCCTGTCACTACTGGGACTGCTGCTGTTATTCTCCGTCTGGTCGGGAGTTTCGTTGGACGTGTCCTTACTGGTGCTGATAGAATCATCATAGTCAGGTGTCCAGGTCGCGTTGTCGACCCTGGTCAACTCCAAGTCGGTGCCTTTGGACGGGGCACTGTCGCAATTCCGCGTGGATTTTCGCGTCCCTCCTACGGATCGCCTGCCGAGAACCATTTTGGAGCGTTTCTGGATCTCGTGGAAAATTTGTGCATATATAAAAATCAGGCAGGCCAGAGGTATGTAAAAATTCCCAATGGCAGTCCCAACCTTCAAAGGCTTATTCTTGCCAAATTCTGTATCACAAACATTGCCGGGGACCACGCGGACACCCTGGTGGAAGATGGCATGCCAACAGGTTATCGGTATTATCCACAACGACGACACCAGCCAAGCACACGAAATCATAATGGTGGCTCGCTTACCGGTCCGTTTGCGCATGTATTTGAGCGGGAAGCGGATGGACCAGTAGCGGTCCAAGCTCAGCACGAGGAGGTTGAATATTGAGGCGGTGGAGGAGACGTAGTCGATGCAGAGCCAGATCTGGCAGACCACGATCCCCAGCACCCAGTCCCCGCTCACGAAGTACGTGGTGCTGATCGGCATGACGATCAGGCCGATCAGGAAGTCCGACACGGCCAAGCTAACGATGAAGTAGTTGCTGACCGTCTGCAGCCGCTTCTCCGTCTTGACGGCGTAGATCACCAGTGAGTTGCCGAAGATGGTGATCAGGCTGAGGAGGGTCATGAAGGTGGCGAACGGCACCGCGACCCCGATGGTGCGGGGCCCTATATCATCCTGCGTGTCGTTAAGCCGGGCGCCGCCGCCCACCAGGCCCGTGGTGTTGGTGAGGAGGACGTAGCCTGGGCCGGAGCTGGATCGTCCACCGCCGGAGACCTCCAACCAAGAGCCGTACTCTGTTGAGAGCGCCCCAGAAGCCATACTCCTTCACTTTCCATCGAGGAAACACTAGCTCATTCAGTCGGTCACCCTTAAATTAGATCGTTATGATTCCAACAGCTTAATCTCCCTCAGTGTCGTCCGCCTTGCCTCTGCACAGGAAGAAGAGAGAGAGAGAAATAGGAGACCGTCATACAAGAGGAGACACACTTGTCAGTCAAGTACTAATTTTTGCATGGGGCCTATGAGAAAATCACACCCGCAGGGATAAATCGGGCTCAGATTTCCTAGGGAGCATCCTTGCGAGACATCCCTTGCGCAGAGGTATAGAGTTCCCTGTGGCATTGTTATCCTTAGATAACCAATGCGACAGGGAATCTACACAAGGACATTCTATAGCCACTTGCTGTTGCCCTTTCTATGTGAGACTTTTTACATTTTCGCGTGGATTTTTCCCAACAACATTAGGACTTCTAAATCTTAACCAGAGAAAAAGTTAATTCAGCCTTCAACTGACAAAATACCTCCGTCTACACTTGAGTTTTCTCGTCTCTAAACCTCTGCCCAGGCAAAACGAGTCTTGGTTCGTTTAACAGTGTGTTCTGTCACCTTCGCGTGAATTTCAAAGAAAGCGCAGCTCGATCTCAATCCACCGCTTGCAAGAAGAAATTGTCGTTGCCAATTCCCATTAGGCGCGATCTTATCCGTTAATGCACTGCTAATCCCCTTCGTACGAAAAGAAATTACCTGCCTCATCACTGCATTGGGTTTTTGCCAACATACACGATAAAAAACATTGATGTTCGCACAGGTCAGTCTGAATTCAGCCCGGTTCATACTTCGGGCGACAGCGAACACGAACGCGCATCTGTGACGTCAGATGAAATATTCGCGTCGCGAATCCGTGAAAGTTCCAACACATTTCAACTTGAGTGAGATGACCCTGCAAAGTTTTCGTGACTCAAATTCGCTTCGCTTTCGCCTTTCGCCTGAAGTATGAACCAGCACAACTGCAGTATCTCGAGTCTGTCAAAATTCGCTTCAAGAGGGCCTGCCGGCTCACATTGACAACAATAGAACTTAATGAAAAATACAAAATCATACCAAAAACAAATACAACCAAAGCGTGTGTGACGATCATTCTTCATTTATTGGAGGATTCCTTTTTACACTGTTTAAAGTCTTTGTTTAATGTTTTACATTTTGCTGCAAGAGTTTGAAATCTAATACACGAAAGTAGCCTACCACTGTCAGCATGTATTGTGTAATCTTTAAAGCAAAAGATAAACAAGGGAAGAAAAACACCTAGTACGGCGAGAATTGACTCGGAATTACCCAACAAAAAGTTGTTTTTTCAGTACATTAAATTGACACGTATGTTAGAGGGCTTTCGCTCGGTGCACAATATACACGTACAAGTGAGTGCACATGAAAACGTTGATAAATTCAAGAAATACTTCATCAAGATCCGTAGAAAATGGAGGAAACCACTCTTTATCCAGCTGTCCTCAACATAGCCCTTTAAAAACGAACATTTTCGGGCAATTTTTTTTCTGATGGTATCTCTTTCGGGGGAAATATTCCACAGAGGACACATTTACTCTGTTCTACACTTTCCCTGAAACGTAACTGCGAACTGAAAGTTGTCGGGGGTTTTTAATATATGACTTGCTTTGTTTTGTTCTGTGTGGTTTGCTTTGTTTTCATTTATGTTCACTTTCTTGGCCATTTGCAAAATCCCAACGTTTAGAAATCTCGGGACGAATTTTTGAGTCAAGACTTGTTACTTTGAACGTACATGTATATATGCATTATTTTTAACATATCGCTTGCTTGGCTGGTTGGTCGGCTTGTTGGCATGATGGTTTGGTGGTACAGGAGTATTTCAGTCGGCCACAGTGTTGCTGTACTTTGAATTTGTGGCTAGGCTCACAACTCAAATTACATCAACATGGCGTTCATAGTCCCAACTCGTTGTATAACATTGATATACTAGTCGCAAGAACGCGAGGGATGTTCAGCTGCCATTAATGGAATGATTCGATTGAAGTCTGATCGAAATCTTATTCTAATACTAACGGAAAACAAGTGAATAAGATGAAATCTTAGAAGATTATTAAAGTTGCAGAGCTGGATAATTTCTTGTTGCACTGTAAATCCCAAGAAGCAATAATTGCTTGTTCTTGTTTCTTGTTCTTTGTTTCTTCACCTGACGCAAGCACAATCAATTCCATCCATGACATGTATTGCTCAGCCGCACTGGATAGTATGCACCGACGCCGTCGTCGAGTTTTAAGTTTCACGTGGTAATTCTAGCACATCACTTGTTGGGACATGGGGAGACCCACGCGCCAAAGCGGAACAAAATGGTGTCAGGAATGGGATGTGTGGTATAACAGTCCGAGTCTCATGGAGTCTATACACTGACTCCAACACAGAAAGCTAAGATTAATCACACATTTATCCATGCCAGCTAGGCGATTAGTTTTCGTCTTTGAAAACGTCTTCAACACTCACCTTAACAGATAACTTCAGTACACGTAGTGTGGAGTGAAAAAACGAAATGTTCACTATAAGGAACAACAATGTTAAAAATATAATGTGCATGTACTGTGTAATCCAAGGGTATGTAAAATAAATCACTATACAGTTCACTCAGGTGCGACACAAGCCCGTGGCATACTAGCGCAGACGTCTTCATTCTCTACCGCTAAGCTCGCAGGGTCAGTTGGCCGGTTCGAGACAGATGAGCCGCGGATAAGGCGCCATCATACTGGGTCAAACGACGTAAATTTTGACGCTGGGCAGATGTTATTATTTCAGATATTGGCTGTTTACCCTAAACCGGCGTGTATTTTACAAACGATATTTCCTCAGTGACTATCAAAATACGTAGGCGAAGAGCAGAATACCCCAAAAATCTGTGGACCTGCCGTGTCATTATACGTCATTTAGCGGTGAGTATATTTAGAGATGCATGCATCAATATTGAAGACTTCTAAGCAGAAATCAAAGTCAGTGTGTGAAAGTACTGCTTCAATTAATCCCTCTCGTCATGGGAAGACTCTGGATGTGACATGTATGTGGTGGAAACCAGAAAACGTGGTACCGTGTATTCATGTGAAGAAGAAACGATTGTCATTTCGTCTCATGAGGTCGAACATTAAACACCTCCCAACTGCTTTTCAAAATGTAAAACGCCTTCAAAACGCGGCATCAGAAGAAACGCAATTGCAATTAATGAGCATTTACCGTATGACGTATTGCACAACATGGAGGCAAGACTTGCCAGTTGTCCCGAACGGCAAACTCAAATTACCAAACATTCCTACCTTTAAAGTCAGAGATCGCACATTAATGTCTCCGTCTGCCAGCCATGTTCTCCCCTGTGGTATCGGTTTATCTCAATCAGAGTGAGATTCATCCCGGCTAGCAGCGCCGGCGCCGGGCTAGGAACGACGCAAGGAGAATTCGCCGGATTTGCCTTCCCTATATACAACTAGAGATTGATTTTTGTCCGGGCAATAAAATGTCGTGAGTGGCGATGGGGTTTCACCTCGTATGGGAAGGCACGAGCCTTCCTAGACGTCTTGACACAGAAAAGGGGGGAAATGGTCCTGGATTCTCCTTCGATCGTTACGACTCTCATAACCGCCAAGAAGCGATCTGCAACATTACAGGGGCGGAATGTGACACCTCATGCGCAGCTGCACGTGCGAACTGCCTGATTTGCCAAGCGCGACCCTCCTTGCGTCCACACGCCGGCGAAATTATCAATCCCTCTGCTGTCGTGCTGACGGTGGGCTGAAGATGATCGGTTTGTCGCTTAAGCACGAGTCACAAGCACAGAATAACACGGCTAATTGCAGAACGGGACGCCGGACGTGTTTACCAAGCCCACCGCCAAAAGTGCAAGGTGTAGTCCGGAAGTGATGGGCTGAGAACTCGATGCCCTCTCACATCTCATGCAGGCCAGACCTAAAATCTTACGCGAGCGTAAACGGAAGGAGAGCCGTTGAGTGGCTAGGTTCCAGCTGATAACACCCACCGTCTATTTTTTTTTTACTTCGGAAATTCTAATTTGATTTCCGGTTAATCCTTAGCCATGAAAATGTGCTGTTCAATTTGATTTTGGCGCTGGGTCGCACCAATCAAGGATGCGGTACGAGCACAATTTATTCTATGTAGGCCCCTATTACGTAGGCCTATATTTATGTCAGAAGAAGATCGTAAATCGCGTATCTTGCCGGGCACTGGAGGCTGTTTCCTTGCACAAAGTACAGTTTTTGGTTAATGCTATGATGAATGTAATTGATGTTCAAGGAAAAATTTCCGTATTCTGTAAAAAAAAATGGCAGGCACAAAAAGAGCGGAAATCGTGAGCGACATCACGAACTAACGCACAAGTCCAAGTTTGCTGCATAAAGATGCATTTCGTGAAGACCGTGAAATGAACAATTACAGTAACATGAACTGACACAAAATGTACGCACGCAGTCTCAAATGAACGTGAGATTTAACCCTAATCTCTGTGTGGAGTAAGTCAAATCATATTGAAATCGGAGGAGCGAAAACAGGGTTAAAGATTTTGGTTTTCGCGAAGTCACATATGAGAATGTTTTAGATATAAGATTCAGAGAAAATTATGTCATGTTTGACACGAATTATGTTTGTAGAAATAGCAGCAGGTAAATAAATCATTCTCACTTGTGAACGAACAATGGTTTTATTGCATGAAAAAAATGCTTTGAGACTTAAATAAGGGTGAAACTTCGTGAAAACGACAGATACGTGCACTGTACATTCGAAGCGAAAGTGACATCACGAAGCATTTGCAGCGAAATTTCGCGCCAGTTGAAACGTGTTCGGCCTTTTTAGTTGGTGATGACTGAGACGATATATGGTCAACCTGCTTAGTTTTAAATCGAATCGGGCGAAGGGCCTTGCGGTTATCGTCACCTAGAATTCACAGAATGGTCTTTGCACGTGGACTTTTCAATGGGTAATACCGAGCAAAAAGTCCACGGCTTACCACTCGGCAGTAGGAGCACGATAAGCAACCGATTTTCGAAAAAAATCGGTATCTAAACGCGTGCTCGACATCAAACAAAAACGCATGGAGGTTTTTGTTGGCAAGACAAGAGAAATGCAC